ATCTTGTCTTGGAGGTCTCTTCCAACCTGGTTGATTCTATGATTCTATGAAACTTCGCAGAGTAGGTTAGTTGAACTGACAGAGATCGGTGATCGCACTGCTCTGGCTGTTTTCATGGCAGTCCAGGGACTGCCTCAGGGAAGGCTGGAGACCTCTAACATGAGTGTGACAGCTTGCCCAGTCCAGAGGCCAGTGAAATGCAGAGCCAATCTAAAATATGCTGCATCTGGTTGATTCTATGATTCTATGAAACTTCGCAGAGTAGGTTAGTTGAACTGACAGAGATCGGTGATCGCACTGCTCTGGCTGTTTTCATGGCAGTCCAGGGACTGCCTCAGGGAAGGCTGGAGACCTCTAACATGAGTGTGACAGCTTGCCCAGTCCAGAGGCCAGTGAAATGCAGAGCCAATCTAAAATATGCTGCATCTCCAAGAGCCAAGACATAACATGACTAACAGCAGGTTGCTCCTGTTGGAGGGTCCCCAGTGGGAGCAGGGGTGGAGTGGGCACTGCAGGTGCTACACTCTGTAATTGCTCAGCCTGGTGGGACCCCTCAGTTAAGGCAGAGCCAAGGGTCAACCAGCCAGTTCCCCAACTCTGGATGGCATAGCTAGCACCAGACTCCTCACCCAGCCTGCACCTTGCCAACATACAGCTTTCTGCTGCAAACCTAATCCTCTGCCTCACACCCCACCCTGCTAATCCCCATCCTCTCAGGGTATCAAGAAACACAGCCATTCATTCTGGATTGCAACAGGGGAAGGCTGGCTTCCTCTGCTGGGGTTTCTGGTTTCCAGTGCTATATTCCTTGGCCTCATTGCCGTTGCTTTTCCCCATCAGAAAAGCTCATTTTAATCTAAGGGCAGGGACTGAGCACACTGCTTGCTTTAACCTGCGAGCTTTCCTGCACAGTGCATGCTCAGACACTGGAGTGGGAGGCATAACACCTCTTCAGTTTGATGACACCCTCTGTCTGGGTTACCTCCCCTCAGGGGTGCTGGGTTTGGCCAGGGCAGCATTCATGGCCACACAGCAGTGACCTGGGGAGACAGCTGAGGGGAATTAATGACCAAGAGCATTTAGTGGAAGACACAAAATCCCAGCTGAGCCAGAGGGCAGCACAAAGCTCAAAAAGGACAGGGCTACAGTACTCCCAGGCTGGATACCTTGAAAGCATTACACTGAGGTACAGTTACAAGGAGGTCATTAAGGGCTAATGGCTGGTTAGTCTGTCAGGTCATGTACACTGACCTTGCTGTTACAGATCATCACAGTTCAGCATCCAAGAGGATGTGTAAGATATCGCTTACATCTGTCTCTCAGCAGCGTCCTCAGAGGCAGCAATAGCTGCCAGTAGCACACAGTGCCACCAGCTGCCCATGATGGCCGACAGTTAGGGACCATTTCCAAGTGGAACTGGCTCAACAGAAACCAGCAAAGTGCTCGGAAGACCCCACAAGAAGAGGTAAAGCTTTACAGTGTGGCTGAATTGCAATAGGCTTTGCAATAACAAATTCTGGACACTCTTTTTTCTCTTTTTCTGTTTCTTTACTACTAGAGACCTGCAAAAACTTTCTGCCCTAAGCTACCACATCACACCTGTGTCTGGCTAAAGCGTCACTGTCCTTCAAAAAAAAGCCTGTGTCAGGCAGAGCCCAGGGTGGTGGCAGGTCAGGCTGAGGCATGGCTGGGACAGGGATCAAGCCACACTGCTCTCAAATAGCCATGGATGAGCAGGTGGGATATCTTCTCTAGCATCGCAGATAGCACCAGAAATCTGTGTAGGCACAGCAAACCTCCTAACAGTTCCTACCGAATCCATGGTTTCCTCATCCCAAACCTCTGCAGCCCTGTGTGCTTTGATGGAGTAGCTAGTATCTATCACGCATCTTCAGGGAGTCACAAAAATCTCTTGCTGTTTGTATATACCACTGAAAATACCAAATGCCAATTTCATGAGCCAAAAGAACAGCAGTGACAGAGCTGCAGCTGGCAGGGAAAATAAGCGATCCTCCATCAAAGGGAGCAACCAGGAGCACAGTGAAACTGCTGCTGGGACCTGGTGGAATGATGTTGTGACCCCCATACCAGAGGGCTGTGAGGCCATGAAGGCACACAATACACAATGCTGCACATGACACCAGCTGGGAATTTCATCAGTAAAGTCAGAGACATCTCCCCACAGGTGCTGCTACTGGCTTGATTAAATATTTACTCAGTAAAGCTTTCTTACCTCTGTGGTGTCTCAGGCTTGGAGAAGCAGACCTTTCCTCTTTTCTGACTGTTTCCCTTTTGGTATTACTGTGCACGGCGTTGGCAGTGCTGTGGGTCTGGGATCCAGCTCCCAGGAGTCAGGTTTCCTCCTGACTGGGCACAGGCAGGTCCTTCTCCACCCACCTCCACCCCAGAAGCAGGTGCTGCAGGCAGGGTGCGCAAGCGCTGACCTGTGGCTGCCCCATGGCATTGACAGGTTCTCCACAGGCACTGCCTGCCATGGTGTTGGTGCTTGCCTCCAGAAATGGTAAGGTTCACATACAGACACAGGGCTGCTGTACCATGAAGGCCTATGCATCTGTAACAGTGGTCTCTGCTGTATCTGACTGCACCAATGGCCACATTCACAGACACAGCTAGAACACAAGGTCTCATTCAGCTCAGCAGCTGTGAAGGGCAACTGGCAGTCACTGCTCTGCTCCAAAACCCTCCTCATCTTCTGCAGGAGAACCTTTTAAGCACAAGGCACTCTCTGGAACATTTCTGGGCTTTTAAAGAATTCTTAAAAACCACCCAGATGAAAGCCAGGGCTCTCCTGAAGGCATACCAGTGCACCCTGCCTCAGCAACATTCCCCTCTAAATGCTCTCTGATTGTAAGTGTGCTTGGTCCTCCTGTGGAGTGGGGAAGTACCTTCCCTGTATCCCAAATGCTCAAGTGAGACACATGTTCTGCTGTGTTATTCAGTTGTACACAGAGAGAGTTGAAGATGGAACTAAGCCCAGTGTTTGAACTGCTGTTCAGTACAGTAAACAACAGACCACCTTGTCACCTGCAGTACTCACAGGACAACTTGTTTTTCTTGCTGAAAATGTAAACCTCAGACAAAAAAACAAAACATTGAGAGGCTCTAAAAGGAATGGATATTCTGTTTCTGCTAATCACCTTCTCAGTTACATTGTAATCAGATGAAACTATGTGTGCAGAAAGATTTGTAGATCCCAATGTTTCACAAAACAAATTGTTTTCTCTGCATTTGGTTACTCATCAAACTAGTTTGGCCTTGCTGCAAGACAGTTTCTCTCCTGAATAGTAACAAACGAAACAGGCTGGAGGGAAGAAGCAAAGGTGATACACATATGATGAGCAACTGCAGCACCATCTGCAGTCAAGTCCATGTAGTTTTTGTCTTTTCTGTAGGTTATCCATGCTCAAAGGGCTGGTGACACGAGGCCATGCATCAGTCATGGACACACTCCTGTGACCACCTCATCTCAGCTCCAGCTGATGCTCCAGACCCAAGCTGTTGTTGAAAAAGGCTTGTGGCTCTGCTGATAACTAGTGCCCAAAGTCAGTATGGTTTCTTGAGACCTCTGTTCTTCCTGGGGCTGTGTTTTCTTCCCTGTCACTGTAGCTGGAGGTGACTCTTAAGCCTGACTACTGCAGAAACACGGTCTGTGATGACTGTGTGTCCTGCTGGGAATGCTCCCAGGTGGGTTTCTTTGGTGGAGCTGCATACTAAGGGTGTGAGGTTGGAAAATTGGGCTTGTTTGGACACGTCCCATGGAAGGGAGCTCTGTCCACTCCAAATGTATTGGTGTCCTCTGTTTTTTTTACATACTTCATGGTTAAAAAAAACTTAGTCTGTGATGATGAACACTACTCAGTTTGAAAGATTAGTAATTCGTGAGTATTTAGACAGTTCACACTACATTAGTACTTCAAATTCATTTCAGTTGTTTTGATTCCACTCTTCGTTAGGTATTAGCATTTCTACACAATCTGCTTTAACAATCCATCTTGAAAAGCACAGCACAGAGGGAGTCATCTTGAGTGTCCAGTGAGAAACAAGCCAACAGAGGTAAATCGAATGGCTGCCAATGTGGAAACTGATGCACTCTTTTGTTTACACAGCTCAAAACTAACACTTTTGTTAAGTGATGATGTGCACAAACTTGCATAATCCAGTGCTGTCAAGCCCAGGAGCAAATCAGGTAAAAAGAGGGTTATTCTAGTAAAGCATGTAGAAAATTGCAAGCCTACAACATGATCTGCCTTTGAGCTAGTTTGCATTGGGTGCTGAATGAAGGGCTGCAATCTTATAAGGGACTTAATCATGTCATATGGTCAACCACAGCCTGAAACAACAGCCAAAACATATCACAACAACATGTGTGAGTTGATTATTAATAACCAGTTTAATTCAAAAGATACACCTCCTCTTTTCAACCAAGCAGTAGGCAGCTGACCTGACCAAATGCTGGAAA